GGGGGGGGGGGTTTGGACTAAGTGCAAAAAAGCACACATGGTGAAAGCAGGGATATAAACTACAATTTGAATGGGCAACTGTCACTGGATATTTTTGTTGACTTTGGAGATACGGCTCCCAGTATTCATTAGATGTCCTGCCAGATAATTAAATGGATTACTCAATAAAAAACTGTTGACAATTAATCACTCATGAAACTACTGTTTTAATAAACAGGTTTCAGGCTCCATTAGCTGATTTATTGAGTTTCCTTCAAATAATGAATTCAGTCCAGCTGTTTGGTCAAAGTTACTGGTCGACATAAAGCTTACATAAAAACTGCCAGTCAGAAAACAGCAGCAGCATAGGTTTGTAACACTTGCCAGTTACCTAGCGAGATAAATACTTTCAACACCTCAGTGTCTTTCTAGAATCCATATTCATTACTGGGTACTACTCCTTTGACAGAATTATCCTTTTGTCACCCCATCAACCTTGCTTGATGTTATTAAAGTTCTCTAAATTAACACTTGTGTTTTGAGTAACTCCAAATACCAATTTGGATTATTTATCTTGGGCTCCACCTGCCGGCCTTGAAACACGCATAAGTGTTTATATGTCCTATATAAACAGTCCAACTTTTTTTTTCATTGGCAGAAGTGTTTCAGCCAGCTAAAACAGAGGTACTCCTTAAAATAGCAGTGATACTTAATTGGCAAAGGGGGCAACCAGTGTATTTTGGTACCTTCTCTGAGCAAAGCTGACATTGCAATGCAACACCTGCTCTGGTTTTATACCCAGGCCTGGGTGTTAGCCTTAAAATTCTTAAATAAAAACATATTGTAAGTCAGACTCAAATTTGAATATTCTGAAATTTAAGACAATTATGAAACATTAAGAGAAAAAAACCTGAAGAGAGGCTGTCATAGACACGATAAGTACATAAACATTTAATCAAAATCTTTATACAGGTGTCAGTCTTTCAAGCTCGTATTCACATAAGAGGGTGCTGCAACTATGGGGATGAGACACATACTGCACAGAGCTGCTGTTACAAAGCAGATGTGCTCAACTCAGCCGTCTCATCATTCAGCTACAGTCTCCCACAGATCAAAGAGAGAAGATGAAAGGTTAGGTCAGCCAGCCCTGGATCCCACACTTGCAACCTGATCTTCAGTCTGACGCTTGATCGAAAGCTGACTTTCTAGGTCCACTTCAGCAGAAAATGTGTCTTCAGAACTATCCTTACAGATGCAGGAGGTGGCTTAGTTAAAAAAAAAAAATCAAATTAAAAAATGCTAAGCTGTGGCACAATACATGCCTTCTGATTTTCTTTTTTGAAGACAATACAAGCCAGAATATGCATACCATGCAACATGACATGGGCTGCAGAATAGGGCAAACAACTCCACTCTAAGGTGGAGACAGTGAAGACTGCTTGACCTCTGAATAATGAGCTTTCATAAAAGATAAATTATCAAGGATGAAATGAAAGCAACAATCTCATTTTTCTGTAATATGTTTCTAGTTTTCTGTGTAACTTATGCCTAATACACACAAACCAGTTTGACAAGAATTACAAACATCCTGTAATTAAGCATTCTGCTCCAAATGGCACTGCTGATTCGGAAATGACATTAAAGTAACTAACATTCTTATTCTGTGCTACTGTACTCTGTTAGACAGTACAATGTGTTGTTTTGCTCGTTTTAACGATCTGTTAAAAGCCTGAATGGACACATGCCAGCATAAGGTAGTGTTTAGAGGGACTATCAAGAGACCAAAACATGATAGATTGTGTATGTTCTTTTCATAGGGTTCTACCATCATTTGGTTGATTAGAAGTAATCAGTTCACAATTTGGCATAAAACCATTTTACCCCTAAGAACTCCCAGTAGCAGCCTGTGAAAAATGAAGCCATTTGTTACGTATTTTGTTTTCACAAATGAAGCATCATAAATAACATCTGTCAGTTACCACAGTGATCTCAATTGCTTCTCAACTGATCCAAAACTGTTGTTTAGGTGCAGTCTAAGAGACAGCTAAAGATCATCAGTCACTGGATTCTGATAGTTTTATGTACCACAACAATAGCTCATGGTCAGCAAAAAAGTATTTTACCACTTTTGAATTAGTTCAAAGGAAACTGAGCACTACTCCTCAAATGCCCATAAAGGAATAAAATTAGATGCATTTTTTTACAGTAGTGGATGAGATTTTTTTTTTTTTTACAGTGAGTTTTAAAATCATAGAAAATAAGATATACTTGATTAGTTTTTAAAAGTAATCTACCTTTTTTTTTTCCCCACAGAAAACTGTCTTAAGAGCTGCATTTTTTAAAGATTGCTATCTACTGATACTGATACTGAATCTACTGATTTGCTTTTGCACTTCCCTTGTGTAGCACATGCTCCTGTGTAGTACTATCATTAAAGATAAAAATGAGGTGTAATAGATAGATCAGTAACCTGATTTGTTTTACGTTGCTCTGCATAAAAACATTTTTTAACTAACCCAAGGTTTGTAACCGTACCAAGGTGAAGAGTCAGCCTTCACTGCAAGAGACAGCAATGTAAAGTAGAAAACTTACGGAAACACAGGAAATAACATGTGAGGTGAATGCCATTCCCCAGCTTAATGAGCAAACTTTATTTTCAGTTCTCCAATTTTTCTCTCTGGCATATTACTAGATTAAATCCACTGTACAGCTCCCAAGAGAAGCAAAGGCCGGTAAACATCACCCTTCTCCACACCATGTTTTAAAAACATTTGCAAGAGATGGAGTAAGATGGCCTTTTCCCCAGTTTCTCAAGAGTGTTACCTTCTCCTCTGCCACAGATCTGCAGACCCAGAGTCTTTTGCTTCCTCCTTTTAGGCAGCCTGTTAAATTCTTAGGTTTTCTTCAGTGAGGAACCAGCTAGAACTCCTTCCTTTTTGGCAAGAAAATCTATTTTCCATTTCTTATTGATAGAAAGTCTATGTTACAAGTAGTTGGAGGAAATACTTAGTGGAAGAATCATACATACTTGCTCCATTCTTATGTTCTTTCCTAGAGATGTTCCTCTAAACCCTCCCAGAGCAAGAACACCAGTCTATATGGACCTTTGACCTGACCCAGTATGGCTGGTCTTACATTCCTAGCTTAATGTTCCCTGACAGAAGGGCTGCAATCATCACTTACATAAGTGATTTTATTCTTACTCTTCCCACCTCATCTACAATAACTCTGATCTTACTACCTACCCTGAACAAAACTTAGAGGAGCCATGGGGTGATAGACAATGTACAAACATGGGGAGAGGAAGGGACCAAGATAAAACACAAACCTACAGCAGTTAAGTAGATACAGAAAGTCCTGCAGGTATCCTTACTTAAGAAAAAACACATTCATTTATTTCAAGATTGTAACACAAGAACAGCTTGACAGATTATTGTTCTGAGTTCAAATAATCCTTCTATGAAACACAAGGCAAGGATAAGAGAATTTTGTTAGTTCTTCTGTTAACAAAATTATTTATTTAACTATTTTAATGAGCTCTTCAAAACCAGTATGCCCATAGAAGTTGTTTGGCTGATCACTATAAGCATTCAGCAAGTTCACTTGGAATTGCTCTCAAAAGAGCAACACTAGTGCCTAGGCTTACCTACTTTACTGCAGGTATGTTATGTCTGGTTGTTTCCACTTTCAAGAATACAGTTGCTATGATGGTAGACATCCTATTATCGAGTCTGGAACAAGAGGTACGTAACTGCGCTGAAGCACTGCCAAACATACCAAAACAGAGAAAAATACTAGCCAACCTTTAGCTCCTTCATTTAAAATATCAACTGAATATTAATAATGAAAATAGATAGCAAGTTGGCTTCAGTTAGAGCAGATACTTGAACCTCTGTATAGCCACAATCAACTCAGTCAAACTGCTGATAAAAACTATGGGAACCCTGAATACAACTCAACCAAAAAGAAGTTACTGAATTTAACTGAAAAAAGTCAAGTTTCTGCATATTGTGATTTTTAAAAACCAGCACAACACACAGCAGAGTGAACTAGTAAACAAGAGTGTCTCTGAGCAGTCCGTGCCCTGTCAGCCTCATAATCACAAAAGAAATCTCTCAAAAAATCCCTAGTGCTTTTAATGCCCACAAACTGAAACATCAGTAGTTTTTAGTGTTCTTCTGTGGCTGTTTTCTTGATAAAGTAACATCAGAGGGCCACCATATGTTAAAACAATTACTTTATCAAACTCCTGTATGTGACACAAGTACCCGCCACCACACAGGAATGAAATGCTATCACATAACCAACGAAAACAAGTGTTGGTTGACACTTTAAAATACCCCAGTAGCTGCTGTTGGATAAATTTAGAACAATCCGTTTCTTGAGCAAAACGCGCCCTGGAGCAGCACGGTCCTCCCGACGGCCCCCAAGGCCGCTCGAAAAAAAGGTCCAAGGACAACGCTGAAAAATGCGTCCTCTTCCGAAACTACGTTTCAGAAAACAGCCGCCCGCGAAGCCACCCCGGTCGAGCGTCCCTCAGGAGAGGCCCACACGGGGAGAGGGGACCGCGCTCCCCAGTCAGCCCGTGTCGGCACCGTCTTTCCAACTCTTTTTTTTTTTTAAGCGGGGCGTAATCATTCCTTAACATTCACACAGAGGGCGGGGAGGGCGGTGAAGTGCTAGTGGAAGGGAAGAGGCACCCAGCCGGCCGCCGCCCCATCGCCCCGGC